CACTTTAAACCCCTCCAATCCATACATGAAGCAAACTGACACCCACCATAAAGATGTGGCACGACCACGAACACGAAGCCAAACAACAGCAACGAAGCTCACCATCTCAAATCCCCCTGCAACTCAGACTAACCTGAGCACAACAAAGCCCCCACCCAAACAGAACACTCCCCCATCCAATCAGAGCACAGCCAAGCTCCTTAACCAATCAGAACACACCTCCACCCAATCAGAACACAGCCAAGCTCCCACCCAATCAGATCAAACCCCACTGGCAGTTAAAAGGAAGAAACAGCTGCGATCACACACTACTCCTAGAACAGCGGTTCTCAACCTGTAGGTCGCGACCCTTTTGGGGGTCGAATGACTCTTTTACAGGGGTCGCCTAAGACCATCGGAAAACACATATATCCGATGGTCTTACTGAGACACCACTTATAAAGCTTTTGGCTAGCCGTTTCCAAAGCTAGGGACAAAGCTAGAATTCAGAAAAAATCGCCTATTCAAAGCCACGCAAGAAATGGGTGGGTGGGGGGGTGGGGGGGGGAGAAAAAGAAGAAAGAATGGTTGGAATTAAAAGCGCTTCTCCTCCTCTCCCCCACCGAGGGGGCTTTTTCCTGCGTCCCACGCGCATTTTGCAAGGGAGTGGGGCGTCAGCGCCGGACACGTTTCATTCCGCGCGGTCCCTTTGTGAAACCCCCAAAACGGCGAGGGTGGCGTTTACCTTTCCCAGGCAAATGTGGCAAGTGATGGGCAGCGTGAGAGACAATGTAACACTCTGAACGTTCTGAGCCATTGTGGCGTTTCGAATCCCGCGAGCGTGAGAGTACCAACCCACAAAGCTGCAAGGCCTGCAGCAGGGATGGAAAGGCGAACCCCTCGCTCTTCCAACTCTCACGCTGCTTAAGGCTTCGCGTACGGCGAGCCACCGAGGCCAATTTCCTCCGTGAGAAGATAACGCTTTCTCTCTTTCTCCCCCCCCCAAACTCTCCTCCTCGAAAGGGGCGGGGCTGAGAGACAGGAACTCCTCAAGCGCCACGGCGGGCGGTTCTTAGGGAAATTACCCTCCTCTCTGACCGTTTTGAAATAAAATAATAAAATATACTAAGGGCAATTTGGGATTCATTTCACTCCAAATGCAAAGCTGGGAGATGTAGAGAATGATCGGAAAGTTGTCATTTCTATAACTGAGTCTTGTTCGAATAACCAGGAAGAAGACGATCCTAAATTGTCTAATTAGAATAGAATAGAATATAGAGCAGAGCAAGCAGAGCAGGGAAGAGTAGAGTAGAGTAGAAAATATGGAATGGAATAGAATGGAATGGAACAGAATAGAATATAGAGCAGAGCAGAGCAGAGTAGAAAATATGGAATGGAATAGAAAGGAACGGAACAGAATAGAATATAGAGCAGAGCAGAGTATAAAATATGGAATGGAATAGAATGGAATAGGACAGAACAGAACAGAACAGAATATAGAGCAGAGTAGAGAAGGGCAGAGCAGAGTAGAGTAGAGTAGAGTAGAAAATATGGAATGGAATAGAATGGAATGGAATAGAATAGAATAGAATAGAATAGAATGGAATGGAATGGAAAGGAAAGGAACAGAATAGAATAGAAGATAGAGCAGAGCAGAGCAGAGTAGAAAATATGGAATGGAATGGGATAGAATAGGACAGAACAGAACAGAACAGAATATAGAGCAGAGTAGAGCAGGGCAGAGCAGAGTAGAGTAGAGCAGAAAATACAGAATAGAATAGAATAGAATGGAATAGAATAGAATAGAATAGACAATATGGAAGAGAGAATAGAATAGATAATATGGAATAGAGTAGAGTAGAGTAAAATAGAATAGAATAGAATAGAATAGAATAGAATAGAATAGAATAGAATAGAATAGAATAGAATAGACAATATGGAAGAGAGAATAGAATAGACAATATGGAAGAGAGTAGAGTAGAGTAGAGTAGAATAGAATAGAATAGAATTTAATTATGTTCAATTTGTAACAATGAAAATATATCCTGCATATCAGATATTTACATTACGATTCATAACAGTAGCAAAATTACAGTTATGAAGTAGCAATGAAAATAATTTTATGGTTGGGGGTCACCACAACATGAGGAACTGTATTAAAGGGTCGCGGCATTAGGAAGGTTGAGAACCACTGGTCTAGGCCATCTAACCATTGAAGCGCAGCATTGTTTATATTAAAAAAATCAGATACTGGTCCGGTATATGCCCTCAGTCAGTCATGATTTCTTTGGGATTTCATCGAGGCACAGGGAGCATCCTAGGTGTAGAAGGTTGGAAATGTGATCGCATGGTGAAAGGCAGTTCATACACATACACGTGCATGAGTGTGGGTTGGACAACTTGTACAAGTACAAGAACACCATCCCTTTCTACTCACGAGTATTCGCTGAAATTATCCTTTGAAATAAATGTGGGAAGTGAATTTTGTCATCACAATGAAGGAGAATTGTTAAGGAAAAATGCAGGGCAATTATTTTTTTAACAGTTCTGTGTGCTAGTCTCAAAAGAATCAGAGTTAGACCTCCTGTTGTGGGTAGGATCCTAAGACTATTTCTGTACCAAGAGAAGCTAGTTGCTACTTAAGAAACCCACAAAGAACATATCTGGATGCAGCCTAAATGAATCTCTGCTTTATCAACACAGTTCTTTTTGAATTCACCTTCTCTTTTGCTAGATGGATAATCAACGATCTCTTGAGCTCTTGCACATGACCATATACACTCAGAGCATCTCACCTTGTGGCAAATATTTAGCAGCCGGAAACAACTATGGAGAAATTAGCCAAATTCAGGTATTTGGATGTGGCTTATCACTGGATATGCTTTTTTAAAATTGTTTTTAAAAAAGCAAACCATCCTTGGGTTAACCTTCGCTGTTGTTTTCTTGGATAGCCTGTCAGCAGCATTAAGTTCAGAAGCCAAAGATGAGAGCAAGAAGCTGGTGGTGTCCTTTGCAGGTTGGTGACGGTGGTCTGGCTAGCAGAGAAAAGCTAGAGGTGCCTTAGCTTTGCCTATAGCAAAGTTTCTGAATCTTGGCAATTTTAAGATGCGTGGACTTCAACAGAAACATTAGCCTATAATAACCTGGCTTGTTCTTCTATGCTCAGGTTAGGGCTGTGTGTAGTCAGCAGACAGCATGGTTGGGCCATCTGTCTCTAATCCAGAAGGAGTTCTTCATTTGGCATCAATGTGGTTGAGTTTCTTTGGTTCAACTGAGGATTCCCCAGAAGGTATCACCCTCCTGAGGCCACTTCCCTGTTAAAACATCCTTCTTCTTTCCATAGCCCACAGTGGAGCTATCTATGCCATGCTGTCCACCGATCGGCAGCTGTTAAGTGCTGGCAATGGAGAGGTCAAAGCCTGGAACTGGAGCGAGATTGTGAAAAAAGTATGAGTTGGGTTGTGTCCTCCCCCTTCCCTCCTAGTCTGGCTGTAGTTTTCTGACTTGTTATTCTTAAGATGCCTTTCCTTTCCTTCCGTTATAGAGTTGCAAAGAGGCTTGGAGTTGGAGGCCACCTTATGGGTAAAGCCTAGTTTTGCTGTTTCCTTTTTTTTTTTGCTATTATTTTTTTCCTGCCCGTGAAAATGTTGAGATTGAAGGTTTGCCTGTCCTTTCCTCTTTAGAAGTAGACTTGAAGTGCCAGAAATCAACAGCCTTCAATTGAACCTGAAGGTATGGCCACTGGGCTGTCTTGGGATGGGTCAATGCAGCTCAGGAGGTTTCATCATGCCACCCTATTTCCTTTCTCCCCCACCTTTTCCAGGATAATACTCTTCTGATGGCTGGAGGTGACTGTGTCATTCACATGATGGACTTGGAGACTGGAGCCTTTACTGTGAGTCCTCCAGGTGTGGGGAAATAAACCAAAAAGATTTTATGGACCTTTCAGCCTTTCTGATTTACTCAAATAGCCTTTTCTCATTTGGTATTCTCAAATTGTTCTTAAGATCTGGATAAATGTTAATTTAACCAGCAGATCATGTCAAGAACAAAAGATCAGGTCCACATATGAAGCTCCAATTAAACTGATTTATTCCTAATCTTTCTGTGCAGAGGAATCTTTTCAACTCACTTTCTTGGAGTTAGATAAAGTCAATGGAATTCAAGGGAAGTTAGTTCACTTGTGGCTACATAGGGGTTCTAGGTTGAACCCTCTTTTGACTCTGCCCCAGGTTCTGCCACTCCTTCTCCTACAGAATTGGTACTTTTTATCCAGATTGAGGGAGATGATAGATAGATAGATAGATAGATAGATAGATAGATAGATAGATAGATAGATAGATAGATAGATAGATAGATAGATAGATAGATAATTAAAACACACTCTAAATAAATGTTGATTACCAATCTTAATGCATCTATTTTGAGTACTCTGCCTTGTGCATTTGCCCATGTTTTTACTTTCTAAACTTCCAGTGTGATTTTTCTCAACCAGGGAGCTTTTCATCATATCACTTTCAGTGCTGTTGCTGAGAATCCAGAAGTTGAGTTCAATAGATCTGAAAGTGTTTTCAACTTTCTTCTGTAAAGTCTGGTGAAACATGGTTATGGGTTTTATGAAAAGTAACCAGTTCCCTCATCAACACACATAATCGGTGCTGTCTGTACTATCTCAGGTCTGAAACCTGCCTTGAGCAGGTCTAGATAATCCTTCCATGGTCCTCTGAAGATGTAGTCTGATCACTTCTCAACAACCTTGTCCAGGAAGGGAAGGTTGAAGACTACACAAAAACTATTCAAAAACATTGGGTCCAGCAATGACTTCTTGAAGAGAAAGGGTATCACCGCCTCTCATATTCACTGTGGTGTGGAATTAATGAACAGATAGCTTAACTGCCTTAAATATCCTGTTTATTCTTCAGCCTAATGACCTTCCACAGGAGAATTGCAGCTCTCAGAATTCATTGGGAGAGATGTTCGGGGGATTTTGGGAATAGTATATATCAATATAGATCAGAGACATATTCTCTTTTATTAGGAGTGAATAGCAACTCTGAGTATGAGCCCCTATGGTGTCCTCTGTCTCTTTCACTGTTAACCAAAGTTAGAAAGCTGATTTGCATGGGCCATTATTGGAGCACCAATATAGGTAGTCCGAAAGGTGCTTTTTCAAGAGGCAACTGGACTTTCTTGTTTTTCTTTGAAGACGTTTCGCTTCTCATCCAAGAAGTTTCAGTTCTGATTGGAGATGGGGAATGGAAGTCAGAGCTGAAGAAGCTTCTTGGATGAGAAGTGAAACGTCTTCAAAGAAAAACAAAGTCCAGTTGCCTCTTGAAAAAGCACCTTTTGGGACAACCGTGACCTGAATGACTGAGAATCTCCATAGACACCTATATAGGTAGACTTGAAGTCACTTTGCCTTCTCTGTCCCTTCCTCCCCCTCTCAGCGTGAATTTCAGGGCCACACTGATTATATCCACTGTTTGGCCCTTCGGGAGCAGCTCCGAGAATGTCTATCAGGAAGTGAAGATGGCACCATACGTCTTTGGGGTAGGTGTCTCCTATGTCTGACTCTGACTCTCTCTTCCTTTCATATGTGTCCCCATGTCTTTATAAAAGATCTAACGGTCTTTTAGACCAGGGGTGGGCAACTCCTCCCTGCTGGCTCAGGAATTCTGGGAGTTGAAGTCTACAGATCATAAAGTTGCCATAGTCGCCTAACTCTGCTTTGGACAAATGCAGTGTCCTCTGGATATGTGAACTTCAATTCCCAGAATTCTCAGCAGAGGCCATACCGGCTAGGGAATTCTGGGAGTACCTCCACAAATCTGACAGTCTGTACTACAGGATCATAATATATACTGTATGCCTTACATTAAATTCATCAGCAGTCCACTTACCTCTAGAAGCACGGTGACTCAGTGGCTTAAAAGATACCGGAGAAGATCTGTGCTCTGAAAGTTCGAGTTCTACCATCATGTGACGGAGTGAGCTCCTGTCACTTGCCCCAGCTCCTGCCAACCTAGTGGTTCAAAAGCAAGCAAATGCACATAGCTAAATAAGTACCACTTTGGTGGGAAGGTAACGATGTTCCGTGTTTTGCTGCATGCTCTGCGCTGTGGTGTGATGTCATGCTGGCCACATGATTGCGGAAATGTCTTTGGACAGTGTTGGCTCAGTGGTCTAGAAATGGAGATGGACACTGTCTCCTAAAGTTGGCTCTGACTAGTTGAGTAAAACCTACAGAGACTCCTTTTCCAACTTATTTCACGTTGCATATTAGTAGCAGACCTCTGGGATTTCTGACTGAACATGACAGGGATTGATTTGAGACTTCTGCTTATAAAGTTTGTGCTTTATCACTCAGCTGCATTCCTTTCCTTCACCTCTAAAGCAAACTTGCATCTGGGTCCTGTCAGGGCAGAACTTCATCTATGTTGGCCCTACCGTTGTGGAACAGGCTCTGTATGCAAAGCTACCAGAGTCTGGTTTGAGCAGAATGCAAAATGATAAGGCTTCCTTGGGTGATTGTAAATCCAGATGTTTCTGAACTACAACTCCCAGGAATCCTTCACTGTAAATTGTATTGGCTTGATCCTGCTGCGAGCTTAAGCAGAATTTGAAGAGCTGTACGCTTCTAGTCTATTTGGTGTTGTTTTTGTTTCCACCCCTAATTTGCTGCCTTCCAGATGCAAGGGGAACGAATGCTGGGCAGCTCAACACATCTGAAGGATGCTGTTGTGATTTTAAATCAGAAAGAAAATGCTGTTTTAAGGACAGTCTTTTTCCCCCCCCTTTAATCTGGTTTTCAGATTTACGTACAGGAGGTCAAGTCCAATCAATTGAAGTCCACAAATATGAGGTATTTTCATCTTAACCTGAATTTTGAATTGTAAGCCTTGCAGTGTCATTGAGACGGGTGGCTATAGAAATTGAATGAATGAATGATTGAATCTTCTTTCTCCAAAACTCAGAATACATAATAATTCTGTACTCATTATCCTTTTTTTCTACATTTGCCCATAGATATTTTAAAAAATTAGGAATTTAAGTCTTACTGATTTCAGTGAGCCTGTTGTAGGGAGACTAATCCAAAGATCAGTTTTTAATACTGTGAGTCTAACTCAGCGGTTCTCAACCTGTGGGTCGCGACCCTTTTGGGGGTCGCACGAGCCTTTCACAGGGGTCGCCTAAGACCATCGGAAAACACATATTTCCGATGGTCTTAGGCAGGGCTTGTCAACCGCCTTCTCNCCCCCCCCCCCCCCGTGGCTGTGCCTCCCTCCCCCCCTCCGCTCCACCTCATTTGTTTGTGGAAAATATGCTGCTTGGTGGAAGTCTGCACAAACTCTACCAAATGTGCCCTGCAGGGGGCGCATGAAGAACGCAGGCACAGAGCAAGGCCCCGCCCTCCCCAGAGACTCATTGTGCAGCAACCGGATTGACTTCTTCTCGTGCACGCAGGTCAGTGAAGGGGAGGCCGCCGCAGCACCCAATTCCTGCGCCCATCAGCTGGTGACCCCCGAACTTGCGCTTGTCAGCCAGGAGGTCTGGCGACGGCCGCCGGTCTCCTTTGCCACCACGCCCGTCCACGACTCCTCCTCCACCCGTTCATGTCGAGCCCACCGGGGCTTGACAGGGAGAGAGGGAGGGAAGGAGGAAGGGACTCCTCCTCCTCCCCTAAGCTTCAAAGCACAATCGGCTTCCCAAGGGTGCCACAATCCTCACGAAAGAGGGGGGGGGGGAGAGAAGCAAAGGGGGCGAGAAAGCTCATGGTGGGCTCAAAGGACCACCTGTCAGATTTGATGACGAGAAATTCCCCACAAACCCAGGGAAGGGGTGGAGAAAAGGAGCCCCCTTTGGGAGGAAACTGCCACCTTCTTCTCCTTGGCTTTGCGCTCTTCTGTTCCTCGGCAGCCGGGCTGCCGAGCCTCTGCTGGCTGGAACTTCCTTTATTTCCCTCCCTCTTGGTCTCTTCCTCCTTCCCTCCCTCTCCCATTGTCCCTTCCTTCCTTCCTTCCTTCCTTTCCTTCACCTCCCTCTTTGTCCCTCCTTCCCTCCCTCTCTCCCCTTGTCCCTTCCTTCCTTCCTTCCTTCCTTCCCTTCGCCTCCCTCTTTGTCCCTCCTTGTCCCTTCCGTCCTTCCTTCCTTCACTCTTGTCCAGGATCGGGGCGAGCCTCTACAGCTGATCCGTGCTTCTGCATAGCAGCCCAGAAGCAGATCAGCTGTAGCAGCTCTCCTTGGCTCCTGCCCAGCAAACTTGCTCGAGCTTTGCTGGAAAACATGCCGCTTGCTAATTTAGCAGAAGCGCGAATCAGCTGTAGCCTGGCGCTGATCCTGGCGCTTCTGCTAACTTAGCAAGCGGCATGTTTTCCGGCGAAGCTGAGCAAGTGAGCTGGGCGGAGCTCTCCTCTGCCTCTGCCTGTGCACAGGCAGGTTTGGCATGTCGCCATGGCCACCGGCAGCAAAGCCACCAGCCACGCTGGCAGCCTGTCCCCCTCCCCTTGTCCCTTCCTGGGCACAGAGGGGGGGGGAGGAAGTAAGGGACAATGAGAGAGGGAAGGAAGGAAGGAACAATGGAAGGGAGGGAGGGAAGGAAGGGACAAAGAGGGAAGGAAGGAAGGAAGGAAGGAAGGAAGGAAGGAAGGAAGGGACAAGGGGAGAGAGGGAGGG